TGGGATCAGAACTTTAGAGAGGAAAGGGCCTGACTCTGCAGAAAAGCCCTCTCTTCCTCAGGATGCTGTAGGATTTAGAGCATGCCGACCCCGAAATCTACAGTGACACCAGGGGGAAGGGATTGAGTCCTTTGCAGGCTTGCACTCACAAAAAAAGGACAAATGGTTGTGACAAGTTTTTCCCACAGGCCACTGTCAATTCCAAGGAAATATTTACAGGCTGCTTATGTTTGAAAAAAAGAAAAAGACACAGGAGGGTCAAGGAGATGGCTCAATGGTGGCACACACACTTTGCATGCAGGAGGCCTGGATTCAACCTCAGCACCACACGGCTACCCAAGCAGCCAGAGCACCATGAGATGTGGCTATTCCCCTGACCAAAATAAATAAATAAATAAATAAATAAACCACAACTGAAATCAGATAATATGGAGGTATTATGAATTTTATGATAACATTTACATTCTGGTTATGCTTAATAGGAAGTTACAAGTATTCAGTAAATATTTATAGGTGCTGCTACCTTGGATTTATTTCAAAATTTCAGAATTTCAAAAAGGTGAGGAACAAAGGAGTCGGTGTGAAGAACAGAACTGTGAAATATTGGCAGGTGAGTAATGGCTAAACGGGCAGCCCATTGTATTGTTCTATTTTTGTATTTACTCCATAAAGCATTAAATCAATAAAGATTCCTGCATATTTCAATATTATGATCATGTAAAATGAAGCTGCCTTATGTATTGAAAAGCAGGGTAATTAAGAAGATCAGTGATAGATTCCAAATCCCCCTAAAAAAATGTGCAAGCCTCAGAGTCAATAGCAGAGTTAAAATGAACTTGAAAAACTAAATCAATGCCTAGACTTTGACAACTGAGAAAGCCAAAGTTGAGCCCATTCAAATGTGCCACCTCAACCCTAACTACAGGTTTGAAGATGGAAACCAGGGGCACCACTGGCCCCCCTTTCTCCCCACAGAAGTCTGACCTCCAGTGTTTCCTCCAGGACAGTGAATATCTCATCTCTGCCTCACATCCCTGGGTCTTCTCCTTCCTCAAGTAGGATGCGAGGATTTCTCCCACAGTCCTCCTTTTCCCCATCCACCAGTTCTTCTTGAGAAAACGCCTGTTTTTCTGCTTTCTGCATGGGCAAGGTCAGCCAGAGGAGCCCTATTTCCCACCCAGTCCCATGGATAGTCTGAATTCCTGCAATCAAAGTGCCCACCCCAAGGGGGGATGGGGTGTAGGGGTGGGAAGGCTACTAGGATCATTGGTGGTGGAGAATGAGCACTGGTGGAGGGATGGGTACTCGATCGTTGTATAACTGAAACCCAATCACAAAAATTTGAAAGTCCACAACTGTACCTTGTGGTGTTTCACTAATAAAAACATTAATTAATTAAAAAAAAAAAGTGCCCGCCCCAAGCCCTCCAAACCAAATGAAGCCCTTATCCATTTTCACCCATGCCTTCAGTTCCCACTTGTTAAGTGGTACCTGTCTTCCTCAGGGTCACCCTGTTGCCTCACATCTGATCAAGTGGCCCTGAAGATCGGGGCCTCCATTTTTCCCTGTCCTTGCCAACTTGCCCAATCCAGTGCTCGCCTTTCTGGTTCTTTTGCAATTATCTCTGCATGTGACACAGGGCTTCTAGGCCATGCTTTGAAATGCAGGACTCAGCATGCTACTTCCTATTCTACAAACAGCCAGCAACTCCAGGGCCTGAGGCTAAAGTCCACACTCTTTTATAGCTGTGAGCTAACCTCACCTCATCTGGTATGTAATCACAGCACAATCTCTCAGTTCCTTAAAATCCTGCCTGCACCTTAACCTCAGGACCCACAGGGGCTGGCTCCAGCCCCTAATCATGCCCTGCCCAAATTCACTTGGTAGAAGGTGCAACTGTTTATCCTTTAAAGGGGAGGCACTGGGAGTCTGTAGGATGTACCAGGCCTGGAGCTGGGGTGGGAGCAGAGTGCCTTCAGGGAACTGAGAGTCCAAAGCACCACATTCCAAAAGAAGCTCTTGGCAGGGCACCTCTCCATCAAGTCATATTTGAATCCATCCACAACCTGTTACAATACCCTCTTCTGTTCTTTCCTACAGGAAAATGATTAAAAACCTTCTGCCCCCCTTTGTGGGGATAAATCTGGGAGTTTAAAATGTCTCTGCCCTGCACTTCTTCTTTCTAGAATTCACAAGCCCAGCAAAAACTTAATCAGATTTCAAAAGCCAGCCTCCCAACTCATCCCTCACCCCACCCCCATCTCAGCACCCTAAGGCAGATCACAACTGCCCACTCAGCTCCTTTCCACTGGATTCCGCTGACATCAGGACCCTGGGCTCTTCCTTCCCCTGTTCCTCTTGCGTGACCAAGTAGGCTAAAGACAGGAACAGCCTTCTGTCCTGCAACCCCCACTCCCCCCAGTGTAGGCTGCGGCAAATGTTTAATCGGTAAAACGAGCCAAATCATACCTTCTCTGGAAGGTAGACTTAAACTGTACAGAGGATAGAATGCCACGGATGTTCTATTTTCACATTTGTCATAGTAGCTAAAATCTTATAAGTAAATGCCAAAAGCCAGTCAGAGAGACTAGAGACCACATACTATGGGGCACTGCTGTTGTGTAAGATTCATTTTAGTCCTCCTAATGAGACAGAACTCTCCACACTCATACAGTGGGGCTACTCATGAGCTGCAGGATAGCAATAGTAAAATCTTGCTACTTATTCATTTTCTAGGGGGAGAACACATCTTATGATACTCAGGGGACCAGGTCATATCAGGAATCAAACCCAGGGCGCCCACATACAAAGTTCTTTGAACTTTCTTCTTGGCCCATGCTATTTATTCTTGGGGGTTGGGGGGTGGGGAACCCCAGGGGGCTATAGAGTACAGGATTCAGGCAACTGCCTTTCATGCAGCTAAACCTGGTTCAATCCCCAGCACAGCATCTGGTCTGCTGACTACTTTCAGGAGTGATCCCTCAGCACAGCGGGTACGGCACAAAAACTAAGGAAAAGAAAAACCTTACATTCTTATACTGTAAGAGGAAAAGTTCCTAAGAAAATATCTCTCTTCATTTTATCTCTGAGAACGTAGGGATTAGAAGGCGGAAGAATTACCCTCTTGTACTTTAAACTTATCACTGAATTTGTCAGAATGTATAATATAAAGTTTCTTAAACTTAAAACACAAACGTAGCCTCTAAAGTGAAAAAGGTACTTTTCTACACTGTTTTATCTGTTTCTTCCTTAGGAAATTCAGGCGGAACTTTTAAACTCTGGGATCCTTTGCTCCCTCAAAGATAAAATATTTTTCACGGCTATATTCTTAGCATCTAGAATAGACAACAACAGGCAAATGCTGGCTGAACAAATAAGCTGTTGTAACACTATAAAAAGTTGCTTGGGAGTACAAAGACAGGCTTCACAATCTCATAAAGGAAAAACAAGTCATTTGCAGAAATTATCTTAACAATATGGTTACCAATCTAAAGGACCTAGGGTTCTTCTTTGAAGCTGACTTATAAAGGGACTAGGCAGATAAAGCTCACAGCACAGAACCCAGTGCCATGCAAGCCGCAGTTCCTGTTTATGATCCTTGTGAACCCGGGCACAATCCAGACCTCGAACAAACAGCCTTTTAATCTTCATAGTCCATAATATCTCCAAGATAGTAGGCAGACGGGCCCTCCCTTATTGCTGATGCTGACAGAGGAGAGGTGAGATCTTGAAAGAAGGAAAGATAACCTAGGGGGGAAATGCCTTGAATGGGTTCAAACTTAATTCTAACTTATTGTGCACCCCAAGTGTTAATTCACAGGAAATGATTCTTGATATAAAGGACCACTACTGAGCTCACTCAGGTTCCTCCCATGGAAAAGACTTGTGAGGACCTATTTGGGGACACTTAGATCTGGCAGTCTTCTTCATTCAAGCAAGCCACACAACTCTCTGGATATTTCCCTCCCCAACTGTCACTGAATTCTAAATCCTCCTTTGAAAGTTGATGAACATGTTAGGTTCTAAAGACTGTTCCGAGGGAACTTGGTATCAAGGCTGTTTCAAGCACACAGGTGGAAAAGCTTCTGCTAAATCCCTGGAAGCTGCCTGGGTTCCTCCAGTGAGTGATGCAGAGTAACTAAGAGCCCTCCCACAAAGTAACAGTCCTCTGCCCTGAGCCCACCTGTCCTTGAACTCCTGCAAACACGTGTTGGCAGGGGCTACTAGCCAGGAGCCTTTCCTCTAGCAAAAACTTGAGATGTCCAAACACCTGGGAAGCTGCCACAGTCCTACTTACTCAATTTGTTACCCCAAAGCCCTCACCCTCTCTCATCACCCCCCCCCCCCCGCCCAATTCGGAAGCTCAGGGGCCAGGGGTTCCTCACTGCTCCTCTTCCCTTAGCCCAGGGGGGCTCAAGCTGCCCCTGACCTTGCCATTCCAAGACATTGCACAGCTAGAAACTTTGGCAACCACCGAAAGGCAAACACAGGGGCTCACCGTGGCTAAGAGCTACGAAGGATGCTTTGAAAAACAATAAACAAGAACAGAAAAGTAGCCCGCTCCCCAGGCGGCAATGAAGCCAGCACAACTTGCAGCTGACCTCCAGCCTCCTCGAAGCCACCGGGTCCGGGCAGCGGGGGCAGCAGTGCCAGGCGCGCGCGCCGCTCATCCCGGGCACCGCGCCGAGCCCGGCGAGCGCCGCGTCCGCGGGCTGCACGCGCTCCGGCCCGGAGGCCCGCAGAGGCGCGGGCCGAGCACCGGGACCGAGCCGGGGTGCCCCGGCGCCCGCGGCCGCGCGGAGCCGTCCGCGCGGGGGGCGCCCGTTGCCTTGACAACGGCGCCGGGGCGCAGTCCTCCCTCCGGGCCGGGGGAGGGGAGGCGGGCGAGTGTCCCCGTGCACCGCGGCGGCGGCGCGGCGGGGGCGGGGGCGGGGGGCGCCCCGGGAGCAGCGCCGCGGGAAGGGCCGGCGGGGCCCGGGCCGGTCGCGGCACGCGCCTACCGTGTATCCCCGCTCCAGGTCGCTCTCCTCGTAGCGAAAGGACGGGATGTAGACCTCCATGGCCGCACCGGCCGGCCGGCGGAGGACGAGCAGGGGCGGGCTCACGCCGCGGCCGCCGCTCCGCCCCCGGCCGCCGCCCCGCCCCCTCGCCGGCCTGGCGGGGCCCCGGGGGGCTGCGCCGAGCCGCGGTCGCCGGGGCCGGCGCGGGGAGCAGAGGACGCGAGGCGCTAGGTGGGTCCGGCCCAAGGGGCAGCGGAGATCAGCTGGGCCCGGAGGAGGCGGCGCCCGCAAACCTGAGTGTGCAGAAAGGGGGTGTGCGTGCCTCCGCGCCGACGACTGGGCCGCGCCCCGGATCCCTCGCCCCTCGGGCTCCGCAGACGCCGGCCTGGTCGCCCAGTCCGCAGAGTTCATGCGAGTCTGGAATAAGAAAAGCCGGGAGCATCCAGGTTTTGTTGGGGTTCGTCGAATTTGCGTTAGGAATAGTGGCAGAAGATGACAGCCGTGAACCGCACCCCCTCTCCCCCCCTCAACTTGCTACCAAGACTTTCCCAATGCATTGCACCGTCGGTGACTGAGATCCGAGATCCGGCGTCTGGCCCCAGTTCTAGTGTTGCTTGCTTCCAAGGAACTGTGCAGAGATTCTTAGCTGTATAAGGAAAACAGAAGACAAGCGGTGGGGGAAAAAGAGAAATTGGGGGACCGCAGGGGTGTTGTGGGCGAGGACCACAACTAACCTCCGGCCAAACCTAACCACTTCAAAGTATCTAATACCTGAAAAGATTAAGTCACCCTGTTAAGGAAACCTGATTATCAGGTTACTAACCATTGTCAATGCTGTTTTTCTTCCATATTATGTTTCAGCATGAAGCAGAACAGGAACTTAAGAGGGGACTCCCGGGTCACTGAGAAGGCAGCTCAGGCGCTTTTAGGCTTCAGGCTAACTGCTACCCCTAACTCGGAATGCCCTTGAACTTTGTGGGTCATGACACCCTGTCAAAAGCATTATCACGTTTTGTTATAGGAAAAAGGAAAAATCGCTTCCTTGACATGACGAAGCCACGGGATGTGGACCCTGCAGAACCTTCCAGACTAGTGCCCTTCAAAGTCTCATACTAGCTCAGCACATACCCACCTGCGCCCTAGTATGACTGATCATCAGCCTCTTGAACAGGATGGATGGCAGTGGAACTTGGTATTCTTTGAATTGAGTTTTGGGGTCCATCCAGCTTGTAGCTTCCTAAATCTCTACGGACTTTCGCGATATTGAAATTCATTCATCTACTTTTAAGTTTAGACCCACAGCCTTCTAAAAGAAAATAGGGCCAAAGCGATTGTACAGCGGGTAGGGAGCTAGCCTTAGACATGGCCACCTGGGCTGGATCCCCGGTATCCCAAACTAAAGAATAATTCCTGAGTGCAGAGCCAGGAATAAGCACCACTGGGTGTGGCCCCAAAACAAACAACCCCTTTTCAGTTCATTTGGCAGTTTTCAACTTAACACAACCAATTGCATACAACATATGCCTAGATGTTATGACCCACTGTGTCCCACTTTAGCTTCATAACAACTCCGGAGGCGTGTGTGCAATAAAATGTTCAAGAATATTTTTAAAATAGCTGATGGCAAAAAATTCCCTGCCCCCACAAACTATCTCAAGATGGTTAAAGGTTATTGTCTCAGTGGATAATGTAACCCAGGCATAAATAAGCATAGAATCTTCAGCAACAGGTAACTGATCATTTGTTACTTGCTTGCTTTCTATGCAAACCCTACCTCTGCTAGTAGCCTAGCATTTGTGTAAATGCCATTTTCCTGTCAGGCATGGTCATTTGTTGGATTTAATGGTAGGAATAAAGTGGGCTAACGAAGATGAGATGGTTCTAAAGTGAACAAACACGGCAAATCTATCATCACACTGTTCCTGAGTCTCTTCATCAAACTCTAAATCTGGGAGATCAACTAAATTATCTTTTCATCAGAAAATTAACAAAAATCGATGACAATTGACAATGAAGTTAGTATCAGCTAATAAAAGCAATCCATGTGAGTAAAACTGGCTCTTCCCCAAACTCTGTACCTACTATAAAAACTCAGATAATCATAGCAGTAGTAACCTGAGTCACCAAAGCCTTAAATCTGGACAGCATAAGTAACACTGTCCTTTGCTAAGAGCCATTCCACTGCTTCCATACCTAAGGCGAAGACTATGCGTTTTGTGGAAATGTTTCTTTCCCTAAGCAATTCTATTTGTAGCTCAAACCTCTTTTGTGTCTCTTGGAGGTATTGAAGGTGTCCAAATTCGTTTCCCACAACACTCATTGAACAACATTAGCCATGTTTGTAGTGGAGATACTTCTATGAGAACACAAAGTGTTATGAAAAAGAAAAATCTACCAAGAAAAAGAGATTCCTTGTTTCCACTTAGAAGACTGGAAAGGATACATAAAGACTGGATTTCAAATTTGGCCCTAAAGATCAAAGGGTGGGAGGGATTCACAACGCTGAAGGGGAAAGGGAACTCAGGTAAAGTCCATCAGTAATACCACTGGTAAAGCTTAAGGCAACAAGATAGGGCAACTTTTGATTACAGCAAAAAGTGGATTATAGCAAGGAAATCAAGACAGGAAAAACAGGGATAGGGACATGATTCAAGGGCAAGAGAACTGTCTTCTGTGTGTGAGGTCCTGGATTTGATCCTTAACACCATAACAAAAAAAGCACAAAAGAAAAAGAATAAAGGGTGTGGGGCCAGGAAAAGACGTAATGCCGGTTCTGATGAATTTGATTCTAAAACATAGTAATGTGACACAGTAATTCTAAAACATAGTAATGTGATAGTCCTTTAAAAAGATTAATTTAAGCTTGGCTAAGTAGATAGGTTAATGAAGTATATTTCATAAAAGACAAAAGTTCTGGTAAATAGTCACAAATTCTTGAACCCAGGAGATAGTAGAGAAGAAACAGATTTTAGTGAGGTTTCAGGAAAAGAATGAATCCAAACTGGTCTTGGCAGGATAATACATAAGCAAAATAACTCTCAGAAAATAAGCATTTTGCGGGGCTGGAGAGATAGCACAGCGGGTAGGGCGTTTGCCTTGCACACAGCCGACCCGGGTTCGATTTCCAGCATCCCATATGGTCCCCTGACCACCACCAGGAGTAACTCCTGAGTGCAGAGCCAGGAGTAACCCCTGTGCATCGCCAAGTGTGACCCAAAAAGCAAAAAAAAAAAAAAAATTAAGCATTTTGCTTTATATGTATTATTGGAGGTTAAGGAAACATTTCAACTTAAATGTAACGTTAAGTTTGCTTGAAAAACCAAATGCCATGCATGCATAAACACACTGATGTACACACACTCAACTCCTCAACTCACACTGTATAAATGTATATATAGTGAGAATATTTGAAGATCCATAAAATTTTAAAAAGCAAGATAACTGGAGACTTTATGGTGGAAGCAATAAGAAAGCAATTTATTATTTAAATAGTTTTGTTAAATTTTGTCTAATTTAATTCTTATTGAAGTTACATATATATTTAAAAACAGAACCTAAAAAAAAAAACCCTCAGTTCCTGATTAAGGATTTTATCCCACCAGCTTCCCTTAATAAAAAAAAGTTTCAGTATATTAACTAACAAATGGGCAACTTTATCTTAATTGGCTTTAATTACAAAGTTTTCATTTGACCAATTAAGAAAAATTAAAAAGTCAATCTGCAGAGATTTAAAAGTATGTGACAAGAGAAAGGAAGAGGAGCATTTCAAGTTTCTTGAACGTGTTAAAAATTTAGACAGCATGTCACAACTTTCCTATTCTCTATAATTTTCTATGCTTAGCCACTTAACTTTGAAGAAATAAATTATTTTTATCCCAAAGACTTTTGAGAATTCTTTATGTGGATAATTAGAATAAAAATTTTGAAAAGCTTATCAAATATTTTCAAGTAAGAATGTTCAGCCAATCAATACAGATTAAAGAGGAAAAATCAATTTAATCATCATGATTTAAGCTCTGAATTTCCTCCTCTGTAAGATGAGAGCATAGTATTAGACCATCTCTTACCTTCTCCATTGGCAACACAGTGCTACAATTTATTCAAAGTAAGTATCAATCACTACTAGGAAAGCACTTCCTTACAAAGCTGTGCACCCAAGTTGTACCTTCCCTTGAGAGTCATACCTATTACTTGTTCCTTTTATTGAGCTTCTTTGCTGGATATGGATCATGAATTAACAAAACAGCTGTTCAACTTCATCTGTATTTCCATTTCCACAAGTACTGTCTAAATCTGCACAGCTCACTAATACCCATTTAGCCACATGTGGCAACGATGTCATCTGAATGGGAATGTGACAGTGTCTAACACAAGGAAGATATCAAGACTATACCAAACAAAATCATCAGAACTTAAAATACTGCAATAATTTTTAATATACTGAACTACATGTCAGATTTTTTTTTTTTTTTTGCTGTTTGGGTCACACCCAGCAATGCTCAGGAGTTACTCCTGGCTCTACACTCAGGAATTACTCCCAGCAATGCTTGGGGGACCATATGGGATGCCGGAAACTGAACCCCGGTCGGCCATGTGCAGGGCAAATGCCCTACCTGCTGTACTCTCACTCTGGCCCCTATATTAGACATTTTAGAGCTACTAACTTTGCCTGTTTACTCTTTAAAATTGCTCGATTTGCTCGAGCTTGAGCGGGCCCAGTAACGTCTCCATTGGAGATTTTGTTGTTACTGTGTTTGGCATATAGAATACATCATGGGTGGCTTGCCAGGCTCTCCTGTGTGGGCAAGATACTCTCGGTAGCTTGCCGGGCTCTCCGAGAGGGGCGGAGGAATCGAACTCAGGTCGGCCATGTTGGCTGCGTGCAAGGCAAACGCCCTACCGCTATCGCTCCAACCCTATTCTTTAAAATTAGATTACAGAAAAGTCTAAATTACAAATGTGGCTCATGTTATATTTCTATTGGTCAAATTGCTATGGCTCTCCTACACAGATTAGCACAGCTCAATTCATGGTCCTAATAATAGAAGAGTAATCAACATTCTTTCCCAGCATTTTTTTTGTTGTGGTTCTCCTCTTTTTATTTCCATAATATTGCTACCTAATATTACTCTTACTGTAAGAGTAT